GTGGGAAATCACTAAATTAGATTTGGAAGGTGATGCAGGGAAAGACTGAGGGCAGGAGAAGGGGATGACAGAGGATGAGATGGTTGGATGGTATCACCGGCTCAATGGACATGAGTTTGAGCAAGCTCTGGGAGACCATGAAGCACAGGGAAGCCTGAGGTGCTGCAGTTCATGGGGTCACAAAGAGTGGGACATGACTCAGCAACTGAACAACAACTAGCGAGAGAGAGAGAGAAATTTAGACTAAGAGGAACCTTAGAACTTGCAGAGTCCAAGGACTCAGATCCTGAGGAGATGACCTGAGAACCAGCAACATTCAGAAGAACTCAGGATAATGGGGCTGTAGGGCCACTGTCAGCATCTCTTAGAGAAAGTGGGTGAACTTTGAAAAAGTCTATTTTCTTATCCAAGTCAACAGAGTATAGCTTAATGAATGTTCCTGAGTAGAGTTACATAAAAGTTCGGATGAAAGGATGTTGTGATGCCTTTTATACTTGCATGAACAACCTGTAGAAAAGTATAAATCTCCTGGAATTATTTGTAGAATCATTTGTAGATGTGTGTGTCTGAGATCATCCTCTCACCTCATTCCCACATAGAGAGAAATATCATAACTGACTCAGTGGGTAAAGACACAAGTGCTGGACTCAGATAGATCTGGGTCAAGTAGGGCTCTTTCAAGTATAAACTCCGTTACACAAAGCACGATGTTTATCCTCTCTTTATTTTACTGTAAAAAAAGATGATTGGAGCACAGTTGCCTTATGATGTTGCCTTACTTTCTGGGGTACAGCAAAGTGAATCAGCTATGTATAGACATAGCTCTCTCTTTTTTTGGGTTTCTTACCCATTTATGTCACTACAGCACTGGGTAGAGGTCCCTGTGACATTCAGTAGGTTCTTACTAGGCTACTTACCCTCTCTTAGTTTCCATATCTATAAAGTGGGACAAAAATAATACTGTCCTATGGGAGGGTATTATTCTGAGAATTGAATGAGATGATGATATAAATCACTGTACTCAGAGCCCCCCAGATAGGATGAGAGTGAAGGCCAAGTGTAGCTCTTTCCTTTCATCTAGTTGAGGGGTTGAGCTCTTGGCCTCTGAGACAAGCATTTGTATATCATGTTCTTTATTTGCAAATAAAATGACAGAGTGCACCTCACTGAGCCATTGTGAAGATAAAATGAGATGATGTTTATGAAGAGTTTAAAGGATGCTTGACACAGAGTATGCATCCTTTATGTTTTAAATTTATGCAGATGGGTGAACAGAGGCCCTAAAATTAAGTGACTTCTCCAAAGTCACAGTGCCTCTGGGAGATCTTCCAATCTTGGAAGTGAAAGGATGGTAGAAAGTTCAATTCTAGAACATTGCACTTGGCTTCATGTCAGTTTTAAAAAGGAAGTGTCTTATTAATGACAAATATTTCTGTAGTGCTGACCAGACTGTCAACAATATTCTGTTTTCCATTGACATCCCATTCATCCTTTCAATAACCCTGTAAAGTGAAAGTCACTCAGTTGTGTCTGACTCTTTGTGACCCGGAATTCTCCAGGCCAGAATAATGGAGTAGGTAGCTGTTCCCTTCTCCAGGGGATCTTCCCAACCCAGGAATTGAACCTGGGTCTCTTGAGTTGCAGGCGGATTCTTTACCAGCTGAGCTATCAGGGAGGTGAGTGCTATTATGATCCCCATTTTCATATGAGGAGATAAGACACAAAGTGGTTAAAATACTTTCTTAGAGTGACACAAGAGTCAATGGCAGAGCTGGGATTTGAACACAAGCATTTTGCTGCACTGCCTTCAAATACTTTTTTTAAGGTCAGACAGAAGAATAGTAGATGATAAGGAGGAATGGCTAATGGGAAGGAGGACAAGACCCCAAATTCCTAATCAAAAGGCCTTGGAGGATGAGATGTGTCTGATTCAATACGGTTGTCAAACATTTAGCATTTGTTATATTCATGTAAGGATAGGGAAATGGCAACCCACTCCAGTATTCTTGCCTGGGAAGTCCCATGGACAGAGGAACCTGGCTGGCTACAGATCATGGGGTCGCAAGAGTCAGACACAACTTAGTGACTGACCCACCACCACCATATTTGTGTATAACTCAATCACTCTGCCGTATATCTGAAAGTAACACAGTTTGGGAAACCAGCTATACTTCAATTTTAAAAACACTCAAAAAAGAAAGAAAGAAAGATAAGCATTAAAAAATCATTCATCATTTATTTATTTTTCAATTAATTAATTTATTTTAATTGGAGGGTAATTACTTTACAATACTGTGATGGTTTTCACCATATATACCCACCATGTGGATGAAGGCTTAGTGGCCCCAGCTTCACCCCGGTGAATTGCGCTTTCCCTGTGTCGGTTCCCATGGCTCCGTCTTCCAGACATCTGCTACAGCACTCCCCGCACGTTGTTAAGCGTATTTTCTTCCCTCCTATCTTCTTTCTAAGTCCTTGAGAGTGGGGACTCTGTCTTATCTGTCCTTGTATTTTCCGGACCCAGCGCAGTACCTGGCACGTTATAAGCACCGTTTTTACTGATTGAATAAACAAACTCCCAATGAAATGAAGGCGAGCTCTTTAGGGAGAGGAAGGAGACAGGTTCACAGGCCATGATAAGACTCCAGGAAAATCCGGGATTGTGTTATAATGAACTCCTCAGCCGCCTAATGAAGCTACTGCGTGACTCTCGCCCCAGCTGGATGTCGAAATGAAAGCCATCACGAGCCCGTGTTCTGCTAAGAATAACACCTAGGAGATAGCAGTGTTTGAAATAAGCTTGTCTCTGGAAAGGTTCCTGAGCCTTGTAATTTTACTTTTATAGTCATGGCCCCAGCATGTTTGACTTTTCAAATCCCCTCAACTGAGATCCAAGGGTCTGTTTATAAAAGCCCTATCTGAAGCTCGTTCCTCGGGAGGTACAAGTGGGATTTCTACTCCTCCGTACAAATCGCTCCCCTGGAGTGGCATTACATTCTGCTTCTTGTAGGGCTTCTCTGTTTGGGGAAATGAGAAGAGAAAGTGAACAGCCTAATACAAAGTTGGTCATAAATGTCTCCAGGGAACCAAAACCCTCTAACAGTAAAAATAACAGTAACAACAGTAATAATAACAGCCCAAAGCAGCTGTCATCCAGGAGGGGAGAGCAGATAGAGACACTGTAGAAGAAACCAGATCAGTACAGAGGAGCAATTGGACATCTTAAGTGCAATGTTCTAGGCAGTAGACAGGAGTCAGGGACGCTGGTAACAGGGTCAGGGAGCAAAGAAACAGGTTGTAACACAAAGAAAAGGGACTCAGGACCTATTTTAGGGACCAAGAAGAGCTACCGGGAGGTCTAGTTCATTGGATTACAATGTGGTCTGGTTAAGATATTTAGGATCAGTCTGGAGCCCTGTGGAGACCAGACTGGGCTTCGCTTGTGGCTCAGCTGGTAAAGAATCCACCTGCCATGTGGGCAACCTGGGTTTGATCCTGGGATTGGAAAGATCCCCTGGAGAAGAAATGGCTACCCACTACATTATCCTGGCCTGAAGAACTCCATGGACTACAGTCCATGGGGTTGCAAAGAGTCAGACACGGCTGAGCGACTTGTACTCACTCACTCACTGGAGCCCTGTCACCACAAAAACACTATGGGGGCTTATATGTGTTAGCCTAGTGGGGCTAAACTAAGTTTCCCAGAACTTCTTTTTCTTTTCCCAGAATGTCTCTGGTTAGTGTGGACCCATAGATATTCTTATGTAAGATTTGAAGGGTGACAGTACCCTTCAGTATTATAGATTACACAGGATGGCCCTTATCTGCCAGCTCACTTTGTCAGCAGGAGGCAATAGTTGGATTAACAACTAACCCAGCTTCCTCCAGTTCCTTCCCAAGCTTATCCATTTTCTGGGCCAGGTGTGTGTGTGTTTTGTCCTGTTGATGCAAAGTGCCAGTCACTTTCTTCAAGACACCCACACCATCAAGGTCAGAGGCAGTGAGGACTGAGATGGGTTTCAGCCCGTCTTTTCTGAGTTCCAACTTGTGCTTGGGGTTCTGCCTTACTTTTCAATTTGATTTAACCTTCCTTCTCTACTGCTTGCCTTGTGGGCTCCAGTGTCTGGCGTTAAATGCAAAGACAACAGTTTAACAGACATTATTCCACCAGCTGCATGATTGGGCAAGGTCAAATCCCTGCGACATATTCCTAATTATATACAGATTTACAATACCTAGTGCTTCTGCGTCTCTCTTTGAACACTTACTAATACACACATTGTCTTCAGAATGGAAAGACCATGAGTTTTGAACCAGAGAGATAGACGTGAATGCAAATCCTGCTCTTGCTACATGTTTTTAATCTTCCGTGTAGATTCTTATCTGAATGAGCCTCAGTTTCCCATCTGTAACTTGAGGATAATGCTGACCTCATTGGGTTAGGGAAAGAATTAACAGTGATAAATACGCACAGCACTAGCTCATCGTAGGTGGTCAATTATGATGGGGAAGAAGGTGTTTTGTTGTTTATTGACTTACGGTAACTTTCCTTCTCTCCCATTCATCCAAAATAGTTTTATTAGAACAATGGTACTTGGTACTTGCTCCATAGCTAATCAGTCATTTGTGGTCACAACAAGCTACTTCCAGAAAATGATGGAGTTGGGGCTGGTTTGACTCAGGCCCTGCTTGCTTCCTCCGCTGTGAGTCACTGCAGATAATTTCCTCCTCACTGCAGGGGGAGAAATTCCTCACCCAGATGAGCTGAGCACATGTGGCACCGTTCCTAATCCTCAAACATTTCCACATGGCCCGCTGGCTGCTAGTGCTGCAGCTCAGCCTCTTCTGCCCCTACTTGCCTCTCTTGGTTATGGCAATGATGAGGGCCACAGTTACGAAAAAGAGAACGAAGGCCTTGCCAGACCGTGAGTCTCTAATGAACCCGTGGCTGAGCTCACCAGTCATCTCTCAGCATTCAGACCGCCCTGGGGATCAGCCCCCGACACCAGGCTGTGTTTTGGGACAAGGGCGACTTCTTTTAGCTTCATGATGGGCGTTGTCAGAGCTGGATTCCTGATGACAAGTTCATTGGTCAAACATCTCTCATGTATTTATTTAATAAGAGAATGAGTTTGGAGAATTGTGAGCATTCTCCAATACCAACAACAGTAACAACAAGAAATTCAAGCCAGATTACCTATCTTCATTTGGTTTCAGTTTATGACACGCACAATGTGTCTACACAACACTGTTTCCAGTACTACTGCTGAATAGTTCTGCACCTTTCGTGGGTTATTCCATAGCTGGTACAATTGAAAATAACAGAAAGAGCATAGCATTGATAATGGGAAGACAGAGATTTCAGTCCTCATCTGTTACCCACTGGGGTGGGAGTGCAGGCAGGCACTCACTTCTGCAATGCCTCCCAGTTCTCGCCTCTGTAATTCCATCTCCATGATCCATTGTGAACTCTGAATATGTACATTTCAGCATGAATTAATAGAAAAAGAAATTTTCAGCAATACATACTTTTGAATATTTGCTGTGTGCCAGGCAACTAGCAGGATCCTATAGAATAAATGAAAAGAAAGACATAATTTCTATTTTCACAGGGTAGGTAAAAATTAAGACTTAAAGAGTTATTGTATAACATCAAGGCAATAATAGAAAAGGTGTCAAAAGCAGGACACGATTAGTTACCACACAATTTGCACAGAAAATATGGGCTTCAGGAGATCAAATAAATTGAAAGAAAAAGAAGAGAAGGGAATCAGATATATGGGTTTTAAAAGTTTGTTTGTCATGATGACAATAAGATTCAGACAGCTAAATAAAAATAAAGGTCTGGGAAGGAAACTAGATTCTTTTCTTCAAACTGGACAATTAGTCATGGACAAGGCTCTAGACATCTCAAAGCCTCAGTTTTCTCATCTTCCATGTGGGGATGGGAATTGGAGTTAAATGACCTGACTCTATATTAGTTTTGTAATTCAAGCCAGGTGGCTTCCATGATGGCTCACTGGTAAAGAATCCGCCTGCCATTGCAGAAGACATGGGTTCCATCCTTGGTCCAGGAAGAACCCCTGGAGAAGGAAATGGCAACCGCCTCTGGTATTCCTGCCTAAAGAACCCCATGGACAGATATTCTTGTCTGGAGAACCCCATGGACAGAGAAGACTGGCGGGCTATAATGGGTCAAAAAAAGTCAGACTTGACTTAGCAACTGAACGACAATAACAATAAGAAATTCAAGCCAGATAGCCTATCTTCATTTGGTTTCAGTTTATGATATGCACAATGTGTCTACACAACACTGTTTCAAGTATTACTGCTGAAATAGTTCCTTGACTATAAATCACACCTTACCAATGTGATTGTTAACTTTTCTTAAGGAAGATTCTATGGTTGATGCTTATCTTGGTTCCTCTTATTCTGTTCGTCAAAGTGTCTGTGTGACCATGGCCAGTGTTTAACAAAGCCTGTGGGTTGATAAGTTTGTACAGTGTTGTTCCAAGCCATCGGGAGCATCACCCAAGTTGATACTTGGACTAATTCTCAGACCCCCTGAAAGAGTGCAATGCTGAAAATTTATGCAAGGAGAGAAAAACATGTGAAAATGTTCAGCAAACTCTTTTTTCACAAAGCCAAGCACTTGGTGTCTTTTTTTTTCTTTTTTTTTTTGCAAATTTGCAAAATGACAAAAAGATTTCTCAGGCTGTGGGAAACAGATTGTCCCTTTGGCCCAAGTAGAAGGGGGGTGAGACACCGACTGCTGAGTAAGAAACATGCCCGAAGTACAGACATGATATTTTCATTTCAACTTCAGTGGTTTGAATAGGATGACTGAGGCTTTTTATAGAATTATTGTTTTGGCCTTGTATGTTGGCAGATCTGTTTTCAATCAAGTGGGATCATTGTCTCTTGCAGTGCAATATTTCAAAAGGAAAAAATGGTACAGTAGACCTAGATGTGGGCATCACAGCGTCTTTCTCTCCACAGAGACTTAGTAATTTGCTGTATTGGACAAGGCGTGTGATTCATCTAAAGAAAACAGACATGTGTCTTGTAATCTGTCTGGGAAACTGACTTCTGATATTTTAGAATACAGAAAAGAGCAGCAGATTGTATTCATGTCCTGGCTACTTGACATAAGCACCATTATGTAATAGAAAGTAAGTAGCATAATCTAACATTAGTAACATTATCATTTTTACCAAAGCTGTTCTTCACTTGGACAAACAGTTGTGGTCTAAAGAGGAACTTCCAGATTTGATATCCTAATGACTTGTTCATTTGCTTATTTGTTAGTTTCTGTTTCTTACTTCACCTAATGCTGCCTGATGGCATTTTCCAGGTCTGGTTTCCCAGCTGGACAACTAGTGAGGGTTGGGGCAGGTTTTCTACATCTTGCCACCTCACCCTGTGCCTGCTGCTTGAGCTTCCCAGGTGGCTTAGAGTGAAGAAGCCACCTGCTAATGCAGGAGATGCAGGAGATTCGGGTTTGATTCTTGTGTGTGAAAGATCCCCTGGAGGAGGAAATGGCAACCCCCTCCAGTATTCTAGCCTGGGAAATCCCATAGACAGAGGAGCCTGGTGAGCGACAGTCCTTGGGATCACAAAGAGTTGGACATGACTGAGCAACTGAGCATGCTGCTTATTTTGCAAACAGTAACTATGTTTAAAGACATTTTTTCCCCCAAACAACCTTGTGTTTTATGTAAGGCAGGAACTAGTGTCTCTTAATTAGCTGAGACCTAAAGAGGTAACAGACCTTGTCTGAGGGCCAACCACTCTGCCACTGTCTCCTTTCCAGGTGGACAAGTCACAAATGTATTTATTCTGCCTAAAGTCGTCTTCTTTACCTGGGTATTCCCAGATAATTCTGACATTCCATTCAGAGAACTTCCTGTGCTAAAATAATATGATATGTGACCTTGGGGTATTCTCCTATATCTTTTCCTAAAATCATTTTGATGATACATAATGAGACAAAAACTCAAAAACTCCCAACACTAAAAACCATGACAGTCAAACTCTTACAAGAATCTGGAAATAAATTTCACTTGCTATAGTACTTCAGAAGCTAAGGATCCCAACTTGTGGCTGTCACAGTAATTGCTGAATGAAGTGGAATATATCCACTAGTTAAAAGAAACTAGGAAGATCTTTGATGCCACGCTCTTATGCATATCAGCTATTTCTTTGGCAAGGACTCGGGGTTCTGGTTGATTGAAAATCATGACATTATTGAAAAGTCAAGATATTGTGTCTTACTTGAGAATTATTTCCCAACATTAAAATATATACACACACACACAAACACAAACACACATTTTACACACACTTTTTTCAAATTGAACTATCATTTGCATCTTCAATTTCCAAATTACCTGGAATGTATTTTTAATATGGCATGAGTTTGAGGTTTTTTTTTTTTTTTAATTTCAAATAGGGAATGCTCACCGTCCTCGTTCTATTTTTGAAAAGCCCATCTCCCCATTAATTTGTACATCAGCAATTTCCTTATTTGCCAGGGTCTGTCTCTGGGCTGCAGGCTTCATCCTGTTGATCAGTCCTATACTGTGTTAATTAATGTGGCTTAAAAATAAGTCCTTATGTCTGCTAGGGTAAGTATAACATCTTTGGTTTTTGGCAGAATTTTCTTAGCTATTCTTAAACAACCATTCTTCTATAAGAATTTTAAGTAACATTTTGTCAAGATCTGTGGGGGTGGGGGGAATGCTACTGAAATTTGATAGGAATGTCATCGAATATGTAGACTAATTTAAGACAAACCCACACCTCATTACTTGGTCCTCAGCCCAATAAAGTGTACTTTCCCTAATCTGACTTGTCTCACACTGACCCTGATTCTCCAAACCTTTCTATAATATGCTCAAGAACTTGTAGTCTGTCATTAGCAAATTCTCTATAACCTAAACCTGAGGTTATTGATTCCTGTCAAGCTTAATAAGACAGAGTCAGTCTTGCCTCCCAAATAATTTGTGGGTACATATGTAGAGAAGGTATCTTCCTTCTTCTTCATGGGCATTTCTCAATTGCTTACCATCTTTTCTGTAAAAAATATCCTTTAAAAAAGACACAATTGGGCTACATCATCTGTTACTTGATACCTCTAATACAGAACTCCTAGGTACTTCTCTTATGAAATGTTTTAGCACCTGCCTCATGAATTTTTTCTCCATGCCTACAGTTGTCTTCCTTCCTTCCTCTGGTGATTTTCATACTCATGTGAGTAGATTTATCCAATAGTTCAACTTCTTTGCAGGATCTTGTTTTCTTCATACCTTAATGTACCCAACTACATGGTTATACTCTCAACTCTGCTCAGGCTCCCCCAAACTTCCCAGCACTTCTCATGGCTTTTGAAAGATCTCTTCCTCTGGGTTCCTCAGAGTTCCACCCTGACTTCCACCATCACACTGGTCAATAATGGTATCAACACTGATGGTAAGAGCAATAATCTATGGAGTATTTTCCTTGTTGAACTCGTTTCTCTATGCTATGGAGAGATTTTTTTTTTTTTTTTTGAAGAACAAGTTAAAAGAATTCCAAATTATAGAAACAGTGCAGACTTCTTATATCTTTGAAAGAAATGTACAGTCAGAAGGAGAAGGAAATTAAGAGCACGGGGTTCACAGGGGACGAAGAGCCGGGTGTCAGACAGCACGGGACTCAGGCGCAATAGAAAGCTAGTCTGTCCCAACTGACACCGGGGCCTCCCCGCTGGCTCAGCGGTAAAGAATCTGCCTGCAGTGCAGGAGACCTGGGTTCGATCCCTGGGTCAGGAAGATCCCCTGGAGGAGGAAATGGCAGCCCACTCCAGTATTCTTGCCTGGAGAATCCCACAGAAAAAGGAGCCTGGCAGGCTGTAGTCCATGGGGTCGCAGAGTCAGACACGACTAAGCACAGCAGAGCATTTTGGTTGTCATGGTTTAGGGAAGCTGGTGTTACTGACAGAGGTCAGGGATGCTGCTAAACATCCTGTGGGCAGCCCCACAGCAAAGAGCATTTTGAATCAACATGTTACTAATATTGAGGCTGAGAACCTCTCTGATAAGGAAAATTCAGTAGAGATTCTGGCTCCAAGATGTAAGAGCTATGCAGCAATTTGGACACTTTTTTTGCTGACTTGTGCCTCAGTTTCCTCAAGTATAAAATTAAGATAATAATAATATTTACCTCACGGAATTTTCAGCAGCATTGATAAAATAATTTATGGAAAGCCTTTCCCATGTTGTCTCATACATGGCCACTAGAAGACTATATCTGGATTCAGAGATAATCTAATCCCATCTTCTACCCTATGAAGAAAGTTTCTACCCCTATTGCAAGGAGAAGGTGGGACTACTGTGTGCATGCATGCTAAGTCACTTTAGTCATGTCCAACTCTTTGCGACCCTATGGACTGTAGCCCTCCAGTCTCCTCTGTCCATAGGATTCTCCAGGAAAGAATACTCAGTGGGTTGCCATGGCATTGAACCCGAATCTTTTACGCCTCCTGCATTGGCAGACAACTTCATTACCACTAGCGCCACCTGGGAAGCCCCTTTAGTGGAGTATATAAATGTGCTAGGTTCTGTTGTAGGAGAAAGTGACTCAGCTGAATGTACACATGCATCCCCTCCTCTCGAGTCTCCCTCCCCTGCCCCATCCCACCACTCTTAGTGCTCTGTGATGTCTTCACTGTATCTTGAGTCCAACTGTTCCTTTTTATCCATCATGACACTCCTCCCGGCAGGCTGCCATCCCAGTTTCTCACAAAAGTAACCAATTGGTCTCCTTACGTGTGTACTTTTTGCTTGCTTGCTTAGTCGCTCAGTTGTGTCCAACTCTTTGCAACACTTTGGAATGCAGCCCGCCTGGCTCCTCTGTTCATGGGATATTTTAGGCAAGAATATTGGAGCAAGTTGCCATTTCCTTCTCCAGGGGATCTTCCCAGCCCAGGGATCAAATGTGCATCTTCTGCATTACAAGTGGCTTCTTTACCCACTGAGCCATCACGGAAGCCCTGTATATTTTTTAATCCTTCTTTAATAAGGACTTGTATTCATTTATTAGCTATGTCTACATGTAATGCAAAAGGCTTTACATCACTTCTTTATTACTAAGAAAAAGTCTATCTTTCAGCACTGGCAGTGAATTTGAAGCAGCCAAGGACCTTTTGCCCCTTAGATTCATATAAAAGTTGCTAAATATTCACATCCACAAAGATAAATTTTATTTTAAATTTCGAGGTTCTCAGAATTATTTCTTTTACTGTTCATGTCTGAATTACTTCCTGATTCAATTTAGTTTTGGGGACCCATCTTGTCAGGGATATCATCTGTGGGTGTGAATGTGTTTCTATGATGTGCTTATGGCTCCTGTGTAGCAAGCAATATTCATCTTTTTCAATCTTACTTCCATAAATGCTTGCATTCATACCCACACTTTCTGCCCACACCATCCATGATAAAATAAGGTCTTGATGTTATTGGCCAGAGCAGAGAAAAGGAGAATAGAAGTGCCATTAGTCATTTTATTGCATTTTGTTTTAACTCAACCACCAGATTTTATTTTCGTTTTGAACTCTGAATGGTTTTCCACCGAATCACAAGATCAAAGAATTTTAGACCCCAAAGACCATAAAACCTAAATGTGTTTAAATGGTGACATATCACCTTTTAGCCAGAGATACTGTTTCTTAGTAATTTTGAACAAATAAGTTAGCATATCTGCTGAGAGTAAATAAAACCAAAATGTACCATCTGCATCTGAACTTTAAATTACACCATTCCAAGGCAGAGTTGGTCTGTTCTTTTCAGAAAAATCCCCTTTCCTTTGCATCATCACATTACTTGGCCCATATACAGTTTGCCTTCAATTTATTGAAGGTTTAGGTTCTTAATAGGCATAGACATAATTTCTATAGTATGGTTTGTTCATTTTCAGCAGATTTCTTTATATCTTGACTTGCTTTCCCTAATGTAAGAATGGAGGCACCAAAAAGTATGTCAGTAAAATCACAAAATAAACAGTATATATTTCAGAGTACATATTTGAGAAAGCTTTCATTTTAGATTTTGATTGATTGTGGCATATCTAAACCAATAGTCTCGATAAAACTGAATGGAAGACATATTTGCTAATTTTGTTTTTCTGACAGACTTCCATTAGAAATACATTATAATATTTAATATTCTCTTTTTAAAAATCATTCTTGTCTGTAACAAGAATGTTTGATTTTAGTTACAGAATCTCTTTTTAGAGACTGCTCTGAACATCAGCAAAGTGTTAGTCACTCAGTCATGTTCAGCTCTTTGTGACCACATGCACTATAGCCCGCCATGAACTATAGTTCTCCGTCCATGGGATTCTCCAGGCAAGAATACTGGAGTGGGTTGCCATTCCCTTCTCCAGGGGATCTTCCCAACCCAGGGATTGAACTCAGGTCTCCGACCCAGGGATTGAACCCAAGTCTCCTGCATTGCGGCAGATTCTTTACCATCTGAGTCACCAGGAATCAACAAAAATTGGCTCTAAATGTCAGGGAATCATATATCTTACTGCTAGTTAGGTATCAATAGCCATTTACAATACATATTCTCACTGTGTTCTATTTTTCTTTCAATCTTTCTTGTTTTAAATTCTCTTTTTTGAATCTCCCACCATCAAACTGTTGCCTGAGTTTCCTCTCCACTCTGAGTCTTGCAACTGAAAGAGTAAGCTTGCTTTAAAAAAGAAAAAAAAAAAAACAGTCTGTATGGCTAATCATTGTAGAGAACCAGCCAGAGGTATAGAAATTTGCAATCACTGAATTTCACCAAATTTTGACAATGAGAGTGGTATAATATGGTTAACCAGTTCACTGGCATTTTAGAAAAGGCAGAATTTATTTGTTTGAGTTAATTTTTATTGGAGAATAGTTACTTGTCAATGTTATGTTAGGTTTTTTTTTGTTTTTTGTTTTTTAGTGTATAGCAAAGTGAATCAGCTGTAAGTATACATATACTGGCTCTTTTTTAGATTTCCTTCCCATTCAGGTCCCCACAGAGCACTGAGTAGAGTACCGAGCACTGTACTGTGCTATAGTACTGTGCTGCAATAGTACTGAGCACTGTACTGTGCTATAGTACTGTGCTGCAATAGTACCAAGCATTGTATTATTATTAGGTTCTCCCTCATTATCTATTTTATACATAATACTGTGTATGTGTCAATCCCAGTCTCTCAGTTCATCCTCCTCTCCTTCCTTCCTTTGTGTCCATATGTTTGTTCTCTAAGTCTGTGACCCTATTTCTGTTTCACAAATAAGTTCATCTGAAGAATTTTTCTAGATTCTACATATAAGTGATGTTATGATATTCGCTTTTCTCTTTCTGGCGTACTCCACTCTGTATGATCTATACATAATAGGTCCATCCATATTTCTGAAAATGACACTATTTTATTCCTTAAAAATGGCAGGATTTAAAATAAAAACGACAGGATTTAAAATCATATCTCAGTTTCTCTGAAACATTTTTTTCCCTCTAAAAAGAAAAGGTAGTACGCTCCAACTTGTAAGATTGGCATAAATGCTGGAGGTAATTCATACATTCAACAGACATTCATTGAATACATTTTAAGTGTCTTGCCTTGTGCTAGGCTCTCAGTATACAAGAGTACATATCTATTGTATAGGTCAGATAGCTCTTTGGACAGAAGTTCCTATTTGATTGGGGATGGGCACAAGCATAAATAAGTGTACAGTAAAAATAGATGCTTATGAATTGCCTAAATTAAAAATATCATCTTATGTGAACTAAAGGTTGAGACAGAGTCCTCTGGCATTTTTTCTTACAATTTTTGAAATTATTTGTTGAAAAATATTTTAGAGGTATAAACACTTCGCCCCCAGTTATTTATATCTCTAGTAAATTACCTTAATTCATTGAGGGTTTCTTCTGAATGAATAAACCAATCACAGGGGGAATAAAATAAGATGAACCCTGGATCTGGGAGAAAGAATGTATTCTGCTCTTGGTTTCTAAACAAAGAAATCAGGAGAATGGTTAGATTTAGCTACCATTAGTGGTTGACTTGTTCAAGGGGCTAGCGTCAGGGGAGGGCTCCATGGAAACATGTTTGAAGAAATTAAGCACCATGATTATGTATTTTATATACATGTGTATATAACTCTTTGCCCTTAAAGAAAGAGGACTGAAGCAAAAACTGGTGGCAGGAAAATACATATATTTTATAAGTCACCAGTATGAAGACTCATTGCTGTTCACAGAAACAAAATTTCATAGAATAATTATTTTTATTTTGTGTCAGAAATTTCCTGTTAGATATTTGGAAGATTAAGCTTCTCAAGCACTTACTGAATTCCTCAATGCACAATGATTAATTCAGTATAATCCTTCAGAGATTTTGAGAGGCTGGAGATATGGTTAAGAAAGGTTTTATTCTTACCTTCAAGGATCCCAGACTATGTAAAGAAGACAGACACCGGATGAATCATTGCAATATCATACAGTCAGTTCTCTAGCGGCAACTGAATGGAGTCCCAAAAATTCAGTACATCAGATCTCCAGGGTGTGGGGTACTGATGTTTGTTTCTTTCCTGGGATGGAAAAAAAGAGAGAGAGAGAGAGAAAGAAGTCAGTCATCATATCCAGACTGCACATAGCTGAACTTTTGATATAATTATTATTGTTTTGACTAACCTGAAGGCTCATTGTAATTTCTCTAAACCTTGCAGTGGTTGTGTCTTCTCTGTCTGCCTAAGTCTACAGCTAAGTCTCCTTACTCTATTTTTCAAATCTGATATTGTGCCTGAGGGAATTCTCAGTAAAGACTGTTTTTACTTGCAATCTTTCTGCCAAAACAGGGCCTCAGTCATCAGACCCAGTCACTCTGAGGTATGATGAGCGTTCTTGTCAAGTATGATGTGGTTATCTAGCTACTGTGTATCATATTTTTGTGAAGGGACCTTTATAGTGAGGGGCCTAGTGTTTAAATACCAGTGCTGGGTTCCCTACTATCAAAGTCTCCTAAATGTCTGTCTTCTACCTTCACCTCTTCCCAGAATTCTAGCCTCATCTATCCAGCAGCCTATTCCACATTACTACCTGCTTATTTATTACACATATCAATGATAACATGGTCAAAACAAAACTCTCGATTCTCTACCTTGCAGAACCATTCTCCCCTCTTTTACAGCTCAGAGACTTTTACAGCTCAGAGAATAGTACCATTATCCACTCAGTATCTGAAAGGAAGGCCTGAAATAATACCCAGATCCTGTCTTTCCTTCTTCTCTACATGTGCCTGCTAAGTTTCTTCAGTTGTGTCTGACTCTTGGTGACCCCATGGACTATAGCCCCCCAGGTTCTCCTGTCCATGGGATTCTTCAGGCAAGAATATTGGAGTGGGTTGCTATTTCCTCCTCCAAGGGATCTTCCTGACCCAGGGATTGAACACAAGTCTCATGTCTCCTGCACTGGTAAGCAAGTTCTTTACCACTAGTGTGGAAGTCCATCAGCCAATGCCGCAGATGGACTCACTTTTTCCACATTTGCCCACTACAGTTCTCCACAAAAATGTTTCAGTTATCTTTTTTAAGCATAGCTAAGATGAATGCTCCTCCTTACATTTCAATCCCATTCTTCCAAACTTCACCCAAATGTGGACACATCTAAGTAATTATCTATTGGTTGACTAAAAACCCATGGTGTAGTGAAGAAGATATGCTTTGGAATCAAAGAGATCACTTCTAATTAGATTTTAGGCTTTTCTACACTATGGCGGTGTGAATTTGTACACAGCAGCTAACATTTTAGAGCCTAATTTCTCAATCTGAAAAATAAAATTAAAAGGAGTACCTGTCTGTCATTCATTCATCCATTCTAAAAACATGTGTTGGACTATTAAGAGTGGCAGGTACTGTGATGAGCATTGGTATAGAAGGTAAATAAAATGGATATAAGACTTGTTTTCCCTGGTGGCTCAGTGGTAAAGAATCCACCTGCCAAGCAGGAGATGCAGGTTCATTCTCTGGGTCCAAAAGATCACCCAGAGAAGGAAATGGCAACCCACTCCAGTATTCTTGCCTCAGAAGTTGAAATTCCATGGACAGACAAGGTTGCGGGGGCTATAGTCCATGGAGTCTTGAAAGAGTCAGACCTGACTTAGTGACTAAACAAGGCTGTCCATAAACTGCTTAAAGTTTATAATTGAACATAATGGCAAATGCACGCAAGTACTTAGCAAACAATGGGTGCCACTATGGTCTGAATATTTGTGTCCCCCCAAATTCATATGTTGAAATCTTAATGCTTGATGTAATAGTATTAAGGGTGGGGCCTTTGAGAGGTACTTAGGTCATAAGAGTGGAAACCTCATGATGAGATTAGCGTTCCTAATAAAAGGGACCAAAGAGGATGCCTTTACCCTTTCTTCAATGTGAAGATACAACTTAGAAGCTCAGAAATCTGCCATCCAGAAGAGGGCCCTCTCTTGGCCATACTGGTACTGTGCTCTCAGATTTCCAGCCTCCAGAACTGCAATAAATAAATTTCCAATTATAATCCACCCAGTCTTTTATATCTTGTTATGGCAACATGAATCTACTCAGACAGGTGCTCTGTTCTTTGGCTTTCTGATACTAGGCATCATCTATCTTCTATTTCAACCTTCCTCAGATATCTTCTGATTCTTAACCCTGAGCTATTTTTACTTTATTATGGTGCCTTATACTGTCATCTGTTGGAACAATATCTAGTTTTAAAATTCAAAACACAAAACTGATATGATCTGTTCTCAAAGGATTTCTTGGGCAGTCCTCTTAGTGTAATGTAGAGAAAGGCCATAATTACTGCCCTCCATGTAAATAAGCACTCAAGCCATGTATGGTACTGACTAGATGTGGTAAGATGCATGAGGCGTTGAACGTGTTCCTTGAAAGTTATAAATAATGTGTGATGTTGGTAGTAAAATACAAGAATTGGGTTTTAGTTACAGAAACATGCCATAATTAGCCAGATGACACCTATAACCACAAAAAAAGATTGCAGTTCAATAACTGGAGTAGATCTAGACCCCAAAAACCACAGCTGCAACTGGTGCCAGCTGGAAGCCCGCTCAGACCAATTCTGTCTTTGCTCGTGAGCACCAGGAGACACCATGCTTTGGTGAGCAAAGTGTCACTGCCTCAGCTTGGGAGGCCCAAGGCTGGTTGACATCCCCAGAGGCACGGGACAATTTCTTTTTATATTTGGCCTCAGGAACTCATGCCCTCAATCCTCCGAAAGAATCACAATTCAGTTCTCAGCAGAGAAAAGTCAAAAGAACAGGTTTTCCACCAGGAACTGAGCCAGTCAGAAGCTGCCTCCTTTCAGAGGCTCTGAATCTAGCTCTGAAATAGTTTGGTTTTCACTTACACTGAACAGCAAATACAACCATGATGAAAAGGTAGGTGGTTTGGGAACAATTCTGCCTCCATGCCTGTGCACTGGTGGATAAGTCGTTTCCTTTCTTTAAGCTTTCATTTCCTCACCTATTAAGTAAAGGTGGAATAGGAAGCTCTAGAATGCTTATTTCAGGTGCTCGAATGAGCTTGGAGCTCTGAAATAGCCCAGGCCCAAGCTTCTCTCCTATTTGTAGTTCAGATCGCTGACATCAGCCTTTGGGGCCATATTACTATTCTCTGAACTTCCTTTTAGGAAGTTGCTTTGCATTAAGTAAGCTCTTACTGTTCTCTAGTCCCACTTTACTAGTTCGATTTCACCTTATTAACTACTTGCATTTTCTTCTCTTTGAATCTTGGGGCCTCTCTTCTTTGTGAAGTCACTTAATTTGCTGCCTTAGCAACTGCATTGTATTTCTAGTAGATCCATCTATCCAGCCTCTGCTTCAGAACAAGAGAAGTACCTCCTTGGAAGAAAGGCAGATTGCCCCATTATAAAGAACCTCATTACACATTTCTTTTCCTCAGTGTAAGCATTTACAATCTCAAGATAAGTGGAAGTTAGTGGACTTTAAAGATGAATGGACCCATTCAGGCATTTGTCCCATAGACAGTTATTAAGTATCTTCCATGTACCAAGCACCATGCTGGCAGTATTACATATACCTTAAGTGTGCATGCTCAGTTGTATCTGACTCTTTGTGACCCCATGAAATGTAACCCACAAGGTGCCTCTGTCCATGGGCTTTTCCAGACAAGAATGCTGGAGCAAGCTGCCTTTTCCTACTCCAGGGGAGCTTCCTGAACCAGGGATTGAGCCTGTGTCTTCTGTATTGGTGGGCAGATTCTTTAGCCCTGAGCCATCTGGGAAGCCCACATATACCTTATATCATCAATCAAATTAAAAATATTAATGTAACATCTACTGAGAATCTGGAAACATACATACTGCATTTTTGAAAAGTTTTCCTGAATTTTTCCTTTCATAATATCTTTCCTATTTAAAAAACTAAATGAATTTTATCAAGATGTAACTTACATTTTGGGGATACAATTCAGTGAGCTTTGACCAATATACTCACCCATATAACCACTCCAACCAAAATATAGAACATTTACATCGCCCCTTGACAGTCCCTCATGTTCCTTTGCAATCAACTCCTATCTATTCCTGGCCCTAGGCAAGCCCCAATCTGTCATTATAGATTAGATTTGTCTGTTCTAGAATGTCATTTAAATGGAATCATGCAGCATGTTCTCTTGTGTGTCAGCATATTGATTTTGAGATTTACCCATGTTGTTTGCATGTATTATTCATTATTCCCTTTTACTGTCAAGCAGTATACATTGTAAAGATATGCCACAATTAGTTAATTCTTTCCTATGGTGATGATCACTTGAGTGGTTTCTAGTTTGGGCTACAAAAGATAAAGCTGCCATAAACATTCAAGGACAAGCCTATGTGTGAATACAGTTGATACTTGAACAATAGAGATTTGAACTGTACTCATACATGGATTGTTTTCAATAAATACTATAGTACTATGATCCACAGCTGGTTGAATCTGTGGATGCAGAATCACAGATATTTAATGGCAGTGATGGGACTTGAACATTTTGTGGATTATGGTAAATGTGGCAAGTCATAGAACCAACACCCTGCATATACCAAAGGACTATGATGAGATTCCCTGGTGGCTCAGTGGTAAAGAATCTGCCTGCTAATGTAAGAGACACGGATTCAACCCATGATTTGGGAAGATCCCACATATTGCGTAGCAGCTAAGCCTGTGTGCCACAACTACTGAGCCTGTGCTCTAGAGACCATCAGCTGCAGCTACTAAAGCCTGTGTGCCCTAGAGTCTGTGCTCCACAACAGAGAAGCCACTGCGATGAGAAGCCTGTGCACTGCAAGTCAAGAGTAGCCCCTTTTTGCCTTTGCTGCAACTAGGGAAAAGGCCACGCAGCAAGCAAGACCCAACACAGCCAAAATAAATAAGTAAATAATTTAAAAAAGAAGGACTATGGCACATGCTTTCATTTCTTTTAAATAAATACCTCAAAATAGAATATCTAGGTCACATATAAATGTAATTTTTACTTTATAAAAATCTGTCAAGCTGTATTTAAAAGAGTGGTACCATTTTATACTTCCAGAGTTCCAGCTGCCCCACATCTTCACCAATACTTAGTATTGATATCTTTTGATTCTGATGTCTTTTAATCCCAGCCTTGTAAGTGGATTTTTAGTGGTATTTCATTGTGATTTTAACTGCCGTTTCCCTGATGACTAGCAATGTTGAGTATTCTTGGATATGCTTATTGATCATGCCTATATCTTCATGCATTACTATAATAAACTAGGATCTTATGTTTATTGTGGACTAGAAGCAATGGCAGTGGACATCCTTCTCTTATTCCTACTTTTCCAGAGAATGCATTCAGTCATAAACCATAAGATATAATGTTAGGCATAGCAGTTTTTGTAGGTGTAGTTTACTTAGAACTTGTTCATGAAAGCTTGTTTTTTATTTCTTGAGATAATCATATTGGTTTTTCTCATTTACTCTGTTAATATGGTAAATTATACTGATTGATTTTTAAATGTCCTATTAACTTTGCATTTTCATTTGTTCATATATGACAGTAAAGCATCAGAAATTAAAAACTGCCCAAAACCCACAATGCATGGGTAAGCCTTGTCTACTGATGAGCTTCTTTATAGGGAGATCTAGATTGTTCATAGTGTTTAGGAATTCCCACATGTCAGTATTTACATTTCTTTTCTGTTTGATTGGTCAGATACCCCATAAAAATTTTGTCCTTAAATGTTAAGGCCTATTTCCCACTGATTTATTGCTTCGTGAAGGAAGAGAATATTATTATAGGGTATGTAGGCTTTCTGTGTAATCTCTGTTTTCTGTTTGGTTCTCAAACATCAGCTTTGTCTCTGGTTCAACTACTCTAGGGATTAACCCTCCATTATTTTGTGTGGTAGGAAGGAAATGATGTCTATAATATTAGAGAGGAGAAAGTATCTAAAGGTCTGGTTTCTTCTTACACAATCTTTAGGCAATCATTCTGAGACCCCTTTCAGAAATATTTGACTTCTGAAACTTTCTGGAGTTTCATGGGTACAGAATAGAATGCTTTCAAGACCCTTGTATTTCTAACTTGGGTTTCAGAGTTCCAAAATATCCTATCTCTTATTGCTAATTTTCTTGTTTCTTGTCTTTGTGAATTTATGCCTTCTTGAAATTGTTTCACTGTCTTTCAAAATGCAGTTTGCAGAAGCAAGAGAGATGCTTAATCATCTTGCTTAAAAAAGAAAGCAAGTTCTGGCTTTGGGTTTTTTTTTTTTTTTTAGTGTTTTTTAATTATCTGATGAGGAAACTGAGACATACTAAGGCTAGAGGAATAAGCACACATTACCACAGAGGCTTGTAGGCTATGAAAATGTGTTCTCCTTCTTCCTGAAAGCAGTGGAGAGCAATGAGGGAAAAGGAGGATAGCAACGTAATCATAATTAAACTTGAAAATGAGTCTATGTCTGGAGTATCAAAATTTGTTGAAGAGTCAAGAATAAAGTAGAGACTAGATCGGAGGCTCTGGCAGCAATTTAAGAAAGAGTTATGGCAATTTGATCTAGGGAGTGGATCATGGACCAGCACCTTCATCCCTACAATCAGTGGTTTCTCTTAGTCCATCTTCTTTCCTTTCTTTAATTTGGCAGAATTAACCCTGCCAAATGTACCTTCAGAAAATTTCCCCACTATATCTTCTTTTCATCCATAGGCTGAAATATTAACATCATCTAGTTCCCAAGGATCCCCTAAACACACCTTGAATCCTCTACTTTGCTGCCAGAATTAGTTTTCAAGAGCACAAGCTTGATTATGTGACTCTTCTAAAGAAAACTTTTCAATGACTCCCCAAATTCAGAAGACATACCTTGAGATCCTTCATCTGACATTCATTTTTATTAGGGTTTATGAAAGTAACTATCTATAACGTATTGAACACTTTTAGAAAGAAAAATTCTTCACCATAGACAATTAAAAAAATACTGCTTCAGATAATCTTATCTGTGTTAGTAAAACTCATGAAGAACCATGTTCTTAACCCAATTGCTTTGGCCTTATAAGCATCATAAATGCCTTGGAAATAACAGGTTGAAAGTAAGAGAGGAGGGAAAAGAAGGGAACACTAATATCTATTAAATACTTGTTCTCTCTCTGTCACTTTTCTGGGAGTTTTTCACAGTAGTAAAGTAAAGAAACTATTTTAACTACTGAAATTAAAGTTTCCCTTGGGAATGAGGTTCTTCCTTTGGGAAAATACCTTGATATTTTAAAAAATCAGCTCCAACTTCTGTTTGACTTGCAAACTATCCTATTTTTCTTTTTTGTTTCACTAGAAATTTCTATTAGGAAGACTGACATCCATTCCCCTTTCTCAGATGTGTGTACTCAATGCATGCATGTGTGCATGCTAAGTCGTTTCAGTCATGTCTGACTCTTTGCTACCCAACAGACTGTAGCCCACCAGGCTTCTCTGTCCATGGGACTGTCCAGGCAAGAATACTGGAGTGAGTTGCCATTCCCTTCCCTAGGGGATCTTCCTGACCCAGGGATCAAACCCATGTCTCTTATGTCTCCGGTGTTGGCAGGCAGTTCTTTCCCACTAGTGTACCTGGGAATCTCCGTGTGTATTCCACACATGCTTAACTTCCCCAGATAGAGCTCCAAGACCAGGAGTTATATTTGCTTTGTGGAGTGCAAGGAAACTTTCCTCAGAATGTCTTCTCATTCTTTGTGTTCTTGCTTTCAATTTCCCTGGCTCATTATTTTATGATAATCCTTAGTGCCTGTTGGTAACCCACAGATTAGCCTAATTTTCTGCTACCCTGCTCATCTGACCTTAAAACTGGAGCTTTCTATTTTGCCCACTGATTTAATTTTACTCCATTCTTCCTCGTCAGTCTGTTTACTTGAGAAGAGAAATAATCCCATGGCCTGAGCTTCCATTATCAGGGCAGTCAAGCTTTGAATTCTATTCTAAACTGTGCCCTGGTTCTAAACTCTGACTTCAAGGTCTACATTTTTATAACTGATTCTCATATCTAAGAACTTTTCTGGTGTCCAAGTTTACTAGGATTGGGGTCCCTAGGGACTGAAGTTATGATTCTGAACCCATTCATTAGAACTAAATCCTCTTCTCTATCTCTGCCACAGTGAAAGATTGCCAATCCTCCTCTTGGTTTAGCCTGTAGGTACCATCTAAATATTATTCTCTATCCCAGATAAATAGAGACGTGGAGCCTTATGACATTTCTTCTGGATCTATAATGGGTGGGAGATTATGATAATGGAACTTCTAGTTTACATCCTTAGGTTCCATGTTATAAACTTTAAACACAAAGAAAGAAAATCCCAGGCCTTCTAGTTAAGGATGAGGAAGGACTAGGAATTTGGAGGCAAAGGCCTCTCTATAGCTCTTTAACCTTATACCACTTACTCAAAGTAAGTTGTGACTATATTGAGGCAGGGTTTGCCCCAGACATCTGTGCAGCAGACCACCTCTCTCTTTTCCTTAAATTTCTTCTGTTGACCTTTGTTGCTTCCAGTACAGAATCCAACTGCTGAGACTTATTCAAGGGTTACCCCAGGCTGGTTACAAGCAATTTTTCCCATCTTATTTCCATGTCCTGTGCATGATAATCGCTTCCCCTTCCTCATGCATGGTAGTCCTCCCTTAATTCTTCACTTACTAAGCTTGATCCAAGATCTTTTCATTTCAGTCCATTAGCACCACATTCTTAGATAGCATTTCCTGTTCCTTGCAAGAATTGCAATGAAACACTCTTTTATCTGGGATCCTCAGCACTTTGTTTATAACCACCCAAACACACATTTCACTCTATCTCATGATTTGGCTCATTGTTTACATGCCTTTCTTTCCTTACTCGTCCAGAACATTTTTTGAGAGGTTAAAACCTGCTTTGTATTCTTTGCTGTATTCCTACTCTTGGATTCCATTATAATGCACTAAGGCATTGGTGATAAAATGGGGCTGGGGACAAGATGAGATTTTGGAATCAGAAACACTCACATTTGGAAACAGGATCTGCCGTTTACCAACAGTGCGATTGGGAAAGCTACGTAGTGCCCAAGTCTTGGTTCCCTCATCTATCATATGAGAAGAGCATTGCCTGCATCAAAGTTTTGATTTAAGAGCCCCCTAATAGGAAATACATAGAAAGATTGGCACCACGTATTAATGTTTCTTCCCCAGATCTCTCGTTCCCACCACCCAGAATCTACTCTCCCACTCAAGCTTCCTAGTTCTACCCACCATTAATAAATTAACACATGTTAATTGGATTGAATCCTCTGCCACTAGCCCGCTGGAATCAGAAAGCCAATGACTCACAGCTTTTAATTGATCTATTGACTTCTTTCTCTGCAGGCTTTCTGCTTGTTCGGTGCCTCACTTCCTCGCTTTTCTCCTCCTCCCCCAGCCTGGACTGGTATGAATCCTGCTTTTGTGTGCTCTTTCTGCTCTCAAATTTCACTTCCACCTTCAGGTTCTTTGTTTACATGGTGTTTCTCTTCTGATGGAAGAGCATGGCCTTATGGAGCTGGCATTTGTTTAATCTTCTGGCTTCTGAAGACCCGTCTTTATGAGCTTCCTAATGTTACCAGGGCTGGGGACTTCAACACACAAATGAGCGCTTTCTGAGTAAGTGCTCCAACCTGAAAGGAGAGCTGTTCCAAGGTTATGTCATCTCCCGCCTTGGCACTTCCTCATCCACAGCCAGGCAAAATAAAAGTCTCCATGGAGATGGAACAGAAATGAGTCTGTCTGATCAATTCTGACTTTCATAGACAGGAATCCATTTAAAGTCTATATTGAGGCTTGAGCGGCTGGTCATAGTTAAGAGGAGACTGGGAAATTGTCAAGTAAATTTCTAGCATTGGATATCTACTCAGTTTAGTAGAAGACAAAGACTTGCCTTAAGGTGGTTTAAAATTTAGTTGGAAAATGAAAATTTATTCAAGGAATGAAAAGTGATTCACAAGATAAAGAGGATAATTAGTGGTTAAGAATAGGAAGAGCTAGTTTAATTACTATTTATTGACTTAATCACATGAATAAATAAATAGCAGGATGGCTATGAACTGTTTGTGACTTCATGTCCTACAACTTCATATGTTGAAACCCCAATACTCAGTGAGATGTGTCTGGAAGTAGGACCTTTGAGAAGTTATTAGGTTGTGAGCAGAGCCATCATGATGGAATATGTGTCCTTATAAAAAGAGACAGGAGAAAGTTGGTTTCCTCTCTCTTCTCCTCCACTCTCTCTTTTTCTCTCCCCACCACGTGAGGACGCAGCGAGAAGAAAGCAAATCAAGAAAAAGATCCTGCTGGTATCCTAATCTTCAACTTTTGAGACTCCAGAACTGTGAGAAATAAATTTCTGTCATTCAAATGGCCTAAAAATCCTATGGTATTTGTTGTAGCAACTCAAACTGACTAAGACAATGATTGAAAGAATGAATAAAGTTGGTCAAAGGAATGAATACATATCTTATACTTAAAATGTTGACAAAGTAACTAATTCAAAGCAATTTAAATCATCTTTAAATTATTTACATTGGAACTCCACCCTGATCTCATTAAGTCAGCAATTTAAGCAATTTCAGTGAAGACCATTTAAGTAACCACATGGACCAGATGGTATACTGAGTACAAAAGAAAAACAAAATGAGGAAGATATTGTCCTTTCTCTAGAATACAAATAAAATTTTCCCTTCACCCTTCTGCCCTAAGTATAGGTCCATGACCTAGCATTGAACAGAAACCAGTATTACATCATCAATTTTAAGTATAACAATAGGTTGAATGCAAATTGTGCTGGGATTCAGTATGACTCGCTGATGGATCTGTAAGCATGACTCACTGTGTCTATTTTGTCAGCTGGAGAGCTTTATCTCTCTCTTCTGGAAGTAGTTTGACACTTTTCGTCCTCTGTTCTTGGTATGTGAAATATCTGTTATGTTCTCAACCGGAACATAAATTTCTTGAGAGCAGGATCTGTTTTTACATTTATCTTCCACAGAGCCTAACATAGTGTCTGGCATATGGCAGATACTCAATTATATTGGATGAATGAGTGAAGGAACAAGTTTAATATAAAATAATGACATGTATTTGCTCAATAAGGATTTGGGAATTGTTACTATATCACACACAAATCTAGGCAATGGAGACATAAAGATGAATAAAACTATCTCCTGATGCTTCAGAAAGTCTCAGCCTGGTTGGAAACTCCAAATGCAAACCAATAATGATGATTCACTGTGCTAAGTATCACAGTAATGATAAACATTAGACGTTTTATGAGCAATTGGCAAGGCTCAAGAATTCTGAAAAGACATAGGTGGATAGGTGAACTTGAAGTTGAACGTAAAGGATGAAGAAGTTTGCTATATGAAAAGTTAGGAAGATAATTGAGCAGAAGGATGAGAATGCAAAATACTGGTGAGATGAAGCTAATTACAAAGAAAAGTAACAGTGCATGCGAAGGCATAGAGTAATGAGAATGTCTGATGTTTAAAATAGTTTGAGGTGGCCAGAGTGAGGCATGTTTTGCTGAGCTGTAGGATAAGGGGGATAGCAAGGTAGACTGTGTTTTTTGGTTTGTTTGCTTAGTCAAGGTCAGATTATGAAGGTCTGGCCTTGCTGTTCAACTTGATTGAACTTACTGTTCAATTGCTTGAACAATAATAAGTCATTGATTTTCTTTAAAGAGAGTAGCAAGATAATCAAATTTTTGTCTTAGAAAGGTAACTCTAAGATAGGGAAAGTGATCCTGAGGATCAAGGAAGGAAGGGAATGTTTATTGAGTGATGACTATGTGCCAGGAAATTTACTGGACGCTTTCATAGATATATTGATGGTCCCTCATTTAATCCTCGTGAGCCAAAAAAATTAAGCATTAGTATGTCTATTTCAGAGCTTCCCAGGTGGCTCAGTGAGTAAAGAATCTGTCTGCAATGCGGGAGACTCAGGAATCCCTGAGTTGGATAGATTCCCTGGAGGAGGAAATGGCAACCCACTCCAATATTCTTGCCTGGAGAATCTCTGGACAGAGGAGCCTGGTGGGCTACAGTCCATGGGGTTGCAAAGAATCATACACAACAGAAGCAACTGAGAACACAGTATGTTTATTTTTAAAAGGAAAGATCTAATTCTTAAAACTGGGAATCAAAAATGATCAGAAGTAGAGAAACTACTTAAAATTCTAGGAGAAACCAAAAGTAGGTCAATGCCAGAATAATGGTATTAGAGAGGGCATAAGTAAGGAGGGTATAAGGGTAAGGATCCAACATATTGGGGAAGTTTAGAAAGCATAACCAATAGAATTGTGATCAATTAGATGTAATAATGAGAAAGATGAATAGTCAATGGTGAATTCAAAGTCTTTAGACAGTTGAAAAGCCTTGGTTTTATATAACGATTTTTGAATGGTTTGAGTATTTTTCACATTTCTTTTCATACCATTATCTTGCAATCCATTGAGGTAGAAATTTTCTTTGGGATGCAAACTAGAGTTTTAGAGATGTGTGCTTTTAGGGTATTACTCTGGGAGTCAGCTGCAGTGCCAGGAAAAATCCCAGGTATCCAGTTGTATCTTTCAACTTGATTGGATTGAGAGAATTTCAGTTGTTAAAGTATTCAGAGGAATTTGGAAGCAAACAAACATATAAGCACAAAGAATTGTATCCGAAGGGAGACACCACCCAGAGTCTTGGCAAGCCTGAATTCACTTGGAAGCAATTAGTAACCCAAGAGACTGATATCATAGAGGATGAAAGTGTTCACTGAAAAGTGATTTGGGAAGCAAAGAGGCCACCAGTGACTTCACAGCAAGCCATGCCATGATTATGAAACTGTGTTTTGCAATGTTCTGCGCAGCAGAGGAATGACTCCAGTCCCAGAGAAGGTCTGCTGACATCCAAAAAGCCTCTTTCTTATGCTTCCAAGGACTTTGAGTATCACATATTCTCTTTCTCAAGTTTAATTTTGGTGGTCTACTCTCTATTTTGAGAGTTTCCTTAACAACTATCCTAACTGGAAAATTTAGTCATGCACATACCAAGCCTTTTGTTTTACAAAAGGATTGAGAGTACAAGAAAGGATTTGAAATGAGGAGATAAGAAAAAAAAAAACATTAAAACACCTTCTAAATCCTCCTGTAATAATTCTGGTCACTTCCTCTGACCAAAGTGATGAAAGAGGAAATACAAACTGAGGATGTAAGTGACACAGGAAATTAGAAGGTGAGGAGAGAGGTAGAGGCTTCAAAAAGACTTCTCCTATCTCACATATCTACAAACTCCCCACTAATGTGTCTAAATGGCAGCCTACTTTCTTGTTTTATAGTTCTTATCAAAGTTTGCAAATATATTTTTATAATTATGGGCACCACTCTTGATCCCTGAAATGCCCATTAGTAGGTAAAAATGATGGCATTCAGTAGAATACAGTGAGGGATTTGTATGAGCGTGCACACGTTTGTGGTGTGTGTGTGTGAGAGAGCAATAGTGTCTGCCAAGATGAGAAGATGCCTCAAAATTCTCAAATGGAGGTCCAGGTAGGAGGGGGGAGATTTATGGGTTTCGATTATCATACTCGGGGAATGAACCAGACCAATGAGCTAATGGAATGGCGGCTTCTGCATACGAGAACTTACTTTCAGGATCACATTCTCTAAGGATTAAAAACTCAGACCACTTAGCTTCAAAACCTATTATCAAAACCCTTTACAACCAACCCCAACCTTCTTTATCTCTACCACTTCCCACTTCTCTTTCCTCAGTCCTTAGACACACACACTCATACTCTGCCATTCTCTTATTTCTCAGCCATTCTCTTATTTCTACTGTGTGGGTTTCCTATTCCTGCTGTAACAAATCACCACAAACCTAGTGGCTTAACAAAGCACAGATTGATCATCTCACAGTGATAAAGGTCAGAAGTCCAACACAAATCCTCTTGTGCTAAGTACCCGGCTGTGTCCCTTCTTGATGCTCTAGAGGAGAACATGTACACTTGATTTTATCCAGCTTCTAGAGACTGCCTGCTGTTCCTTGGCTTATGACTTCATTTTTCCTTCTTCAAAGTCAATAATACAGGATTTTCAAATCTGTCTCTAACTCTGACCTTCTTTTGCTTCCTTGCTTCCTTAAAAAGGATCCTTATAACTGGGTCCATCAGGATGATATAGGATAAACTCCCCATCTTAAAAATCTTATCTCACATCAGTAAAGTTGCTTTTTCGACATAAAGTGACATATTCTCAGGCATTGAGAAGGAGGCCATGACCATCTTTGGAGGATGGTCTTTTTTTACCTCCCCTGCCTACATTCCCACTCCCCTAATTACATTTCCACTCTTATATCTTTTCTCAGGCTAATTTTTCTGCCTACACTCCCTTTTCTCTCTTTTCTACCTAGAGATCACCTACCTTGACTAAGACCTAATCTCTGAATCTTTAACTAATTATCCATTTTCCTTTTGGAATAATTCCTGTTAGATCCCCATGGAAATGTGTTAAATATTGAGTCTATTATAGCATCCATCACATGGAGTTGTTTATTTGTCACTTGTCTGCCTCCTGAGTAGGCTGGGAGCTTTTCAAGGTCAGGATATATAACTTACCCATTTCTTGTTTAATTTTTAGGGAAGTACCATTAGTAAGAGGCTACACAGGGGCTCAGT